GTTTTGGCCTTTTAGGCCTGGTTATGGCCTTTCTGGTCTGCGTTTGGCCTTTCTGACACTCTAAATAACCTGACTATTTGAGAAAAAGATGTCATTTGTGTTCAGCCATCGAACTGTCAACATGGTTTACAAGAGAGTTTGTAGAAACTGTCCTATTTCATCGTGTGGGGCGAAGTACCTTGTCAGATTACCTAACCATCTCGCGGATGTTCATCAGTTAGGCCACATACAGCGAAGACAGTATTTACCAGAGGCGAAACTGCAACCTAAAGTTAAAGTCGTCGTTTACGAAAGTGAAGCGGATAAAATCACTATCGCAATCCAGTACAGACACAAGAAACGGTGTACTGCGAACTGTCAAGATCACAGAGAAATGAAGCCTCTTTTAAAGCAAAAGCTAAAAGACCGACTACAAAGAACAAGACAAAGCGAAGGAAACAAAGAAAGTCGAACTCTTGGCTTAGAGGCCATAGGAAAATTGTGTAGACACCGAAGGATTATTTATCATTCCTCGAAATAACACGGAAAAAACGGATTTGTAATAGTCAGTCAAAGGATTAATTTTCATTCCTTTTCCTTTCAAATCGCTGTGTATTTGACTCTTTTGTTTTGTCATTTGTTTTTAATAATTAAAAGTTTTTAAAACGGTATCTGTCTTGTGGTTTTATTGCTAGCAATTATTAGTCGCGTGTTTTAATTGATCCTAGTTAAGTTATTTAAAATTGTTTAGATAATAATACGTCAAGGTGTTCCCTTAGGTCTAGCTGTAGAGATCGATGAACTAATTTGTATTCAAGTTTGGGCGTGTGAACTCGCATAATTAACTGCCTAACGGCGCGTGAATTGAGAAGACCATAAGCTCATTAAGCGCTGAGACTTCAATAGCTAGTTAGTCGTTTCCTCGAGATAGAACGGAGAAAACGCTTCTGTAATGGTGAGTCAAAATTGAAATAGAGAGTTTTCAGCTCCACTTTGTGTATTTGTGTGTATGTGTTTTGTTTATATATCCGATTTTTAGCGCTAAATGAGAAGACATGTGTTGCTAGAAGATTGCACTTCTTATTCCTATTGTTTTTTTTTACTAGACGTTCCACTCATTAGTTACTAGAATGGAGTTTATTTAAGAACCAAAAGAGTTAGGGTTTACTTTAGAACCACCTGTTGTTTTCTATACAATTTTTATATTCTGTGCAATACTTTCTACAGAGTCAAGTAAACAAAGGTTGAGATTTTTGCTTGATAGGCAGTTTTTCGTTTCGCTGCGCTTCGACCTCATTTTCATGATTTGCTCGAAAAAAATTAGCAAGATTTCGCATTCGCCTAACCTCCCTTTTCCTTTTGTACAGAGTCAAGTAAACAAAGATTGACATTTTTGCTTGATAGGCAGTTTTTCACTTCGCTGCGCGTCGACCTCATTTTCATGAATTGCCCGAAAAAAATTAGTACAATTCCGCATTCGCCTAACCTCCTCTTTCCTTCTTTTGAAGTAAAGATTTTTTAGTTAGTCTCTGTGTCTCGCCTTTGGTTATAACTGATTTTTAGTGAAAATAATTTAATGATTAAAGATTTTTCAGTTAGTATAATCTGCCAAGATAGCACGTTCAAAATTTGCCAATCAGAAGACTATAGCAAATTGCTGATTATATCAAAAAATCACTTTTCTATTTATAGATTATGATCTGAACATTTTTCGATGACGTCAACGCCTGAGGTATTCTGACGTCACTTGCTCCTTACCTGCTGAAAATAAACTATGAGATAATCCATCTAAAAATTGGTATTCTGACGTCACTTGCTTCTTTGTCAGCTGAAAATAAACTGACATCATCCTATCTTAATGTAATGCGTGACGTCATCAGCATTAATTTAAACTATGACATCATCCTATCTTAATGAGATGCATGACGTCACCTGCTTTAATTTATACCACTCAAAAAGTTAATTAGATCCACGAAAAAAAAAAGGTCAATTCGGTCCCTCCCCCACTACTTCGGATTCCCAACAGTTTACACACGTCGATAAAACTGGGTGGCGGACGACGGCGATAGCAACGAGAAAGTGAATCGCGTCAAAAAGCAAAAGGTTTTGAAAGTTAAACGACAAATTTTGCATAGTGTAGCACGCTTTTTGGTACATTTCTTTGCCGTGCACAACCACGACGTGAAATTTTTTTTTGCGACGTTGTTTGGAGGACGTGAAAATAAACACAAGATATAGTATTTTTTCTTTCCCAGTTCAAACTTGGGTGAGGTCCACAGGATTCAACTCCAGTGAAATTCTCCTATTCATTCCCGTTGTCAGCAACTTGGAATGAAGGCAAAATGTTGAGAAAACGCTATTTTTTTTAATAGTGACGTATTTGCTACACTCGCCATCAATATTTTTAAAGCGCCCTATATTCATGAACGCCTGACACTTTCATTTTGGTTTTACCGCAAAGTCTTATGATCGAAGGAGGAAAGTATCATGATTCGTTGGAAGAACTGTTTACTCTACAAAACATTGAGGAATTAAAGGTAATTATTAGATTCCAAGTATTCACTTTTGATTTGGGATTTAAAATCTCCAGAGACTTGACCAAACCGGAAACTTTTTTATTTTTTGGATTCACGCATCTCTGTGCGTTTGTAAACGTAACCTTGCGTTATTAAAGTGATTGGCGTGTCTAAGTAATAAACTCAAAAAGGCGACAAAGAACTTTTCAGATCACTTAGAGACGTCATAAACGCTTAGGCTCACACTAACCTTACGTTTGGGGACATTGGTGGGGGTATGGGGGAAGAGAGCGGGGGGGGGCAGAGGGGGAAAAGGGGCATATGGTGAGTTGTGCATACCGCTGAAAAAGTCCTGGTTACGCCCCTGCAAAATGAATCGCCATCCCTTGGAAGCTGATTATTTCAAAATCCACTAAATAAAAAAGAAATAACCGAACGGAGAGGAAAGAAAACCGAAACCTGACTTGCGAACCGTAGTTGTTTGCTTTCAAAGTCGCTGAAAAAGTGTCTTACCCAATACTCTACTAACTCCCCTTCACTGCAAAAAGTGAAACCAACCTGAGAAAACAGGAGACATTTTGCGACGCCGCCATTGGTTTCCCGCGAAATGACATCTGAGAAACGAGCATAGAAATTCCATTGTGATGACGCGTTACCACCCAGATCTGGAAAGTGCTTCTGACTGGCGATACCGCGTGGAATATTTGCATTGGCCAATCAGAGTACTACCCACGTCTTCAGTATGGAATTTCTGCGCTTGTTTCTCAGGCGTCATTTCGCGGGGAAACCAGTGGAATTGTCGCAAAATGTCGGCTGTTTTCTCAAATGCAAATTAAAAAGCCCTTTATTAAGCTTATTTGTACCGTAGATAAACTTAATCCTTATATTCCCTTATTGATTTAAAAACCTTAAGAAACTCGGATATCAGAGGAGAAGCCTAGTTTTCTATTTAGAACATCGAAAAAAATAATTATATTCGCCCCGTCATTTGTTTGTACTTGGTATGAGTGGTCGGCCTTGGTGGTGTTTGCCACAGAGTGGGGCTGTTAGGCGTAATTTGCTCCCACCTGATTTTTTTCCTGAGTATATTAGCCACAGTTGTACCTAATGGAGTGTTTTCACATAACGTCACGGCGGCCATGTTGGTGTACCAAGAAAATCGTTAGGGAGTTGAAACTCTTTTCTTATGCAAATACTTTCTTTGGTTCCAATAAAATAGCATAGATGCTGGCCATGGGAGTGAAAACTCTCGATTAGGAAAACTGCACACTGTGATTTTAACCAAACGATCGGGAAAGGCCCCTAGTGTCTCATGTATAGACCGATTGCACAATTTACAGTTTGCCTGCAAGATATAACCGTGTAAGTGAGCAAAATCTCGCATCCCTGAGATCAACTCCTTTTATAATTCCGACCCGATGGTTTTCTGCTGGAACCGCTAACAAGGCATGAAGAATACCTAAATACAACGTACACTTATCTCTCAGAGAAATATAATTATCTCAGCTCTCCATTCAGGGAATGAAGATGGGTGCATGGACAACCATCTTAAGGAGGGAAAAAGTACGAGTCCTTCAAAGCGCAGAAACCGAGTCAAGCTCACGCTATATGGTCAATTGGTCTGTGCACCTGTGCGCTGTTATGTGCTCTAATATATGGATACCCCAACCCTCCTTATAATCATGCAACTACAGTCAACTCTAACTTTCTCTACAGACACCCCGATAATGCGGACAGCAGCTGAAAAAAAAAATACAGAGGTATAACTAAAAAATGGCTCCTTGTATTTCATTTTAAGTTATTACAAACGTTTGCTCTGCAAAATGGTAACTTTTTGGTTATTATTTTTTACTTTTAAATACGCTAATTCCTACAATGTTCTACTATGTAGATCCAGTAATTATATGACCCATCACAGGGAAACAGCTACTCTTTAGGCTATGCTCACACTATATAAGATAACTCTTGCACAAGCACGAAAACCATACTGCTGATACCGGATATGGCTTCTGTTCACTGATAAAAACGGGGGTTTCGGTGCGATTTCTGTTACAACGGAGTGAAGATGCGCTGCGCCGATCTCGAAAGTGGAGCGTTTCATTATCGTATAGGTTCTGTGCCACACTATGGTGCAGTGTGAACAGATATCGGAACCGTAGCGAAAGTGAATAAGTAGGAGCGAGGACTGGAATCTACTGAGACGGAAGTAAATATTCAAGAGTGAAGTCCGGGATTTAGCAGTTCACCACAACCCTCTCGGCCAACCGCTCCAGCACGGGGTTCAATGTGTGTGAACGACTTGTTCCAGTCCAATTCTGTGCCATTGCTGTTGAGTCTATATTGGGTAGCCATGCGGTATAGTGTGAACATGGCCTAAATCAAGTTGCGTTCATGCAGTAAGGACAGTATTGCTAGGGCCGCTATGTGACCATAGATTTTCATTTCATTATTCTCCGCTGGTTTACAGAATTCATCCCTTCTTTTCTCACATGGCTATTCCGCTTTTTAGCATTGAGAGGAACGGAAAATTAAAACTGGTATTTGACCTCCCGGCTGGCTAGAACCATTTGAATCTTTTGAGGATTTCGACTCGAAGATTACTGTGACACCAGAACACAAGGTACTTGCCAAGCCGTTCGTGAGATAAAAGGAGCGTCTACTTGTAACTATTCTGGCTGTTGCGGTGTATGTGACATTAGCGCAAATCGAAATCACTTGGGAAAAATGCACCTCAAATGTCTTGACACTGGAACTGGTAGCATGGGACCCAGTCTCCTCTGCGATTACGCTGCTGCCACGGTACAAGCGAATGGTGACCTGGAAACTAGTTGAACCGCTGTTAACTCCCCACAGACGGTACCCTGACAAAATGACGTCACCATTTGTCTGGAAATCGATTGCGTCAACACGGTCACTGCCACTGGGTTCAGAAGAGTATCCCCAGCCACTGCCATGACTTCCGGGCCCGTTGCGCCAGCACTCACAGGGTTTTAATGCTGTGGGGATAAAAAAGAACCATCTCTTGTAAAATCTGTTAGGGGAATAAATTTTTAATTTTCTTTTTCTATAGCTGGAAGTAATGAAAGTTACAAATATTATTTTCGAATTCCAAAGACTCTCACTTTCAAAACGAAATCGTTCTCATGAAAAGAGTTGTATTTGCATGGCTTCTCAAGTGCCTCTCTTTTAATCAGGGGCTTGGGGGACCGTAAATGGCCTATTAAGGAGTACCAGGGTACTAAAATGTGAAAGATAACTTAACATGAAAGGTACCTTTCTAATTATAGTTTCCAACCTGTAGGTCAGTTTTTTTTCTAGAATTTATTAGGACCAATCAGATCTAAAAAGAGAAAAAGAACACCTCTTGCTGTCTTTGGAAGGAGTTTATATACAAGACGTCCTTCGTCTCAGCGGAGACGCTTTTGCTAACTTCCTTTATTTTGCTAGCCCCTGATCGAGATGCTGGGTGAATTCTGAGAAGTACAGTGGAATCTAGATATAACGTCACGGTGAAGAAACTCCCTCTTTTTGTACAACATTACATCACAAATAAAATATGTATTTGCAAAGAAAGACTTTTTTTTGTTGCGCAAATATTATATTTTTTTGTAACAGATTTCTGCGTTGTTTATCAAACGAGATAGTGAAAAAATATTCTCTTTAATAAGCCTACATTTTGGGCAAATAACTTCAGTTTAAAAAGAATGCGTTTTGATCCTGCAGACTCCGCAAAAAACGTAAACATCAAGAATAAATAATGTTTATTTTTTGTACATTGTTGACAAAGCATAATGTCAGAAGTGTTAGGCATTATTATTAAATTTTCAACAACTACTTCAGATAGTACATTTCTGGCATTCTTATTGGTTCACTCTATCTATCTCGATTACCAGCTCAATACTTTACTTCAATCTTGTATGGAAAAAGATTACGCTAAGTGTTGCCAAGCTCAAAGTTTTTCGCCTGGAAGCAAAATTTTACTATGCATTGACTGATATAATTGATAGCTTAAATATACCTCAAGTAATACACTTTGTCAACAAGTGTGAAGTGATTTCTTCTACAGAGCGACTTAGGATTTTCAAGTAAACTTGGATCAAGTGCTTTGACTTAAAACTTCTACGGAATTAACCTTAACAGTTGCTTAGTTCTAGTGTGGAAGCCAACAATTATGAACAGATTTCCTTAGCGACTCGTACTATCTTATTTACGTGCCCGGTGCTAAATCATTCGCTCCTTCGTCGTTGCTGTCAAAGGTATTTTCATTATGACAAATCATCCTGCTCTTATCGGTTGTTATTATCTATGGCTGGTTAATTGTTTTCCCTTAAATTTGTTCCTGTATAGTAGTTCATCATGTATTCATGCAGGTTCTCTCCAAATAAGCAAATTTATTTCTTAAAATTTTGTGCTGCCGAGTGATCTTCCACGATCTCCATAGCCTTTTTCATTCCATCATTTCTGTGTAATCAACGTTAACTCCATAAATCCATGATACCAATTTTTCGACCATTTTCCTCAACTGGGCAGTCGTCCGAGAATCTTGTTCCGTGGGATGCCTGTGGCACTCCACGGTAAAAATCCGGTTCGGTTGTACCCAAAATTGCAAAGCCAGCCAATAGGATTGCTTAAAACCTTTATCGATTATCTCTTCTTCGAAGCCGGCCAATCAGATTGTACAAAATCTGTATCGATTTTTAATCGATTTGCTTCCTCTAAAGAACGTTGAAATCAGAACTTTTCTTGCCAAATTTATCGCGCTTGAGTTTTCCCACTCGTGGTTTAGGATGGCTTGTTAACCAGCGAAATCCTTCGGGATACTGGCAAGTCACGAAAGGCGACCTAAGCCAAATTATTTCTTTCCTTCATGATTCTTTTTTGTTTAGGTCTAGCTTTTTCATAAGGTTCTAGTAGCGTCTGGTTGCGGGCCGTGAGTTCCAATAGATTTTTCTATTCGGAGTTCGCCAGTTTTTGCCGAGCACAGCTAGAGTTCAGTTTTTTTCTTTTCTTATCTAAAACACCTTGACGATGAGAGGTTAAATCGCGTAAATTTCAACTCGCACCCTTGACGATTGGCGTTGAAATCGCGAAAATATTGTCCTCCTCGATCGACGACTCGCTTTCGGCATCGATTGGACTGGATGGGACACGGATCAGGATATGAGTAAACTTATTATACCTTGGAATCAGGGATAATCATTGGAACTATGCTAACTTTGAGACCTTGGAAACACATTGCAATTAATTTTTAACCGTATCAAGAGGACCCAAGAGCATCTTGGAATATTAAACTTTCATCTTGGATTAAAACATTGGAACTTTATCGAACTTTGTAACCCTGGGTTCGACCCTGGATAAAGCAAGCGGGTGTTTTGTTTTGTTTTGTTCCATTAACCTAGATAGAACGCCATTATGCTTCCATAGACCAACGCATCCCACGGAAACGACTTTAGGCGTCTTGTTAAAGTTTAGCTTCATTTCTACTGTTGATTAAATCAATGCACATTCGGTCCGTCCATCTTGTTCTTCCATATGGTGTAATCTCCCTCCAGTCATTTCGTCCAGCTTTCGCTTTACATCTGTTACATCTCTTATTATCTATTATGGTTAAAGGACTGGTTATCAATGGTGGTATCGCCCGTTAAAAATGGCGACGATCGTTTAAAAAAGGGAAATAGGCATCGCCGTCCTTGGATCTTATGGTTGCGCAGTGAATAATTTGGATTGAATTGAATTCCCAGCACCCAAAAAACTGTCAACCAGAATGCGGTGCGGGATAAGCAGACAATTCTTAGCCCATTTATTGAACTAACCAACTAATCGCAAAACAAAAACAACTGTTTTCACTGCTTAGACACAAAAAAATAGCTAAAAAATCAAACAAACTGTATACTTTTGATCCGGCCAAAGCAAATGAATAAACAAAACCACTTAAAATAACTGTCAATCATCAGGAAAACACAACTAAAATCGTCACGAGGAAATGGATCGATTACAGGATTTCAATCAAAAAATAAAAAAGAACAAAATTTTACTGTCCGCCTGTAAAAAATCCACAATGAAGCTTGTTTACTGTCCAGCGAATATTCACTTGCTTCTTTACATATCACACTTTCTTCGCATAATCTCATGCCGGCACGTAAAACACACTGCCGACAAATGCACCTGTGCTCGGGAATTCAAGAAACCATTTATCTGTTGTTTAATTACGATTCGCTGCATTCAGGCAAAGATAAATGAACAATTTGGTAGTATGGCCTTTCGCGTACTACAGTACTGTTGATTTTGAAGGCATCATGATATGTTATTGTGAGGTATGGCAGCTGTGGAATCAATGTGTCTCCCAATTACATATTCATTTCTTCACCCTTTCATAAGCATTGATCATCGAGATGTATTTACTAGCCAATAGTTTTATGAGGAGGACAAAATTAGATTTACAAGAAATTAAAAAGCAATCCAGATAGATTTAGTTCCTAGCAGGTTAAGACAGTTTACCGTTGCAACAGGTTTTGCCATCTCCTGTGTAACCAGGTTTACAGGAACAAGTAAAAGAACCTACGGTATTCGTGCAAGTGGCTGACGCATGGCAATCATGGGTACCTGCTGTACATTCGTCTACGTCTGAAAGAATAAATAATAATAATAATTAAAAGTTTATAAAGCCGGGTGAGACACCTTACTCACACTCAGTGCTAGTGCTCCTGACCATTCATCCTGATTCAAAAGGCGAAGTACTATATAATAACTAGTTGAATTTATTAAATAACAATTTGTATGTGATTCAGGCGTTGTTTGAAGGTTTTATTGATGTTTATGAGCAAGGAATGTTTGAGTTTGAACCTTCAGAATCGCTTCTAACTTACTTTTTGGACCTCTGTGGATAGTCAAACAAAAGACAAAGCATTGAGTCCTTTAAAAAGACATTACAAAGTCGAGATCTCAAGTAAATAGTTCTGTTGACTATTTTGATGATTTTGTAAACAGTTTTGGTGCGTTTAGTTTTTAGTAGAAATTAATTTTGTTATTATACATTGCACTCCTGATCTTTAGCTGTCTTCTCATTGACTAAGAGCCTACAGCTATTTTGGAAATCAGCGTAACCTACAGATTAGTTAGTTATCTGCTAGCAGATAACTAACTAATCTGTATGCTAGCTGCGAGCGCAATGATCGATTGATTTTCAATAGCAATATCAATACAGGTTCAATCCTTGCGACCGTTTGTTTCTCGTTATTTTCTTCAAAACAATGTATCATAAACAATGTTTAGACTCGGTTTTTGTGATATCCTGAATAATCAAGGTCTCGGTAAGTGTTATCAGCCCCGGCCTTCCGCTCGGCTGATAACACTTACCAGTCGACTTTGATTTTTCCGGATATCACAAAAACCTCATCCAATAATGGTTTATTATCATCCTCATCATCACTTATTATTATCGCAGTTTTAAAGGTCTGGATGCCCAGTATTACTAAAAAACACAGAAGTTGGGCGTCTGACCGTAAACAACCCCTGCGCCGTGAAGCCTTAATTTCTCATTTAAAAAGTATTGAAATATTAAGAATATTATAGTCATAACTGGCTCTTGTAAAATATTAAAAGGTTAAAATGTATAAAAATGTTTCCGTTTGCCCTAAAATTTTGTCCATGAACCATTCTACTAGGCTTATTAACCAACCCCTCCGCCGTGAAGCCTATTATTATTATTATTATTATTATTATTATTATTATTATTATTATTATTATTATTATCTATTTTTTAATTATTATTGTCGTTCAATTTTATGGAAAGTTTGAGCCTATCGGAGTTATAAGGTGGTTTATATTAAATCAAGTCAAGGAAGCCTGAATAATTATTAATAGTCCAAATGGAATTTTGGGCAAAAAGAATGAATCCGGTACCGGTGAGAACTGAAGGAAGAGAAATTGACAAAAACAAATTAAATAACAAAAAACAATAACGTTGCCCAAAAAGTCTGATGTATTAACTCCGGGACCTGTGCTACTTTACTTGGAAGTTATTCTGTGTTTTCAAGTGTTATATTTCTTCTTCTTCTTTAAATAAACAACGTTTGGTTTGTACGCTAGTGGACGGCCCTAATCGTCTGGTGTACTTGTTTTGAAATTCCGACCTGCTCGCCATTAGCGTTCCAGTAGCTCAGTGGTTATAGAGAAGTGATTCTCGATTCTCACCAGGAGCTCGGAAATTTTTTTCGAAGCTTTCAAGTGTTAGAATTCTTCTTCTTATTTAATACAGAATGCAGTTTATTCAAATAGAGTTAGCTGCAGGGGACGATAATAATGGAACAGGGAAATTTCAATTTAATACGATATGAATGATTATCGTGAATTAATTTTCACTTAGAAGGAAAGTAGAAGAAGGGTCTCTTAATCAGTTTCCCTAAAGTATCAACATCAAAACGCATGTATGCGCCTATTAACCTACTTTATCAAATACAATGATGATGATGATAATGATAATGATGTCCGCATTCTGTTCAAAGTGAGACCGTACGAGTCTAAGTGCAAGTATGTATTTACCTACCAGAACAAGGACTTCCTCTATAACCCGGATTACAAGCACAGACGTCTGATCCTGCGGTTCCAAAACAGGCATCATTTGCATCTGCGTCACAGCGAAAATTAATGATGAGAAAATGTGGAAGAAGCAACGGGCACGAAATAACGTATTTCCTCGAATAGTAGCCGTCCCTCGATTAATCGCCCCTCTCCCACCCATATAGGTCATATAGGTTACCCGCTAGGGATACCCATAGCGCGGTAAAGTTGAGGATGAGGCTGAATGGGAGTCTGATCCAGCATAACTGATCAGTGACGATTCAAGATTTGACGCCGAGGACATTTACGGTGAAAATTAATCAAGAAACCAAATTTGGAACACTTTAAATGCCAAGGTTCAGTTTAATTTGACGTTTTTTTTTTAAATTTAATTAATGGGAAAATGGAAAATTCAAAATATTCAGGGCACGACTTCTTGTGAACAATATTTTAAATAATCGCCTCCCTCGAATTACCGCCCCCTTTTGGTGCGAAAAAAGAAATAATCGCCCCCGGCTATTATTCGAGGAAATGATAGAAGTTCGAACATATATATAGAAGTGCCATAGAATGACAAGTTATCTTTCAAATGATGCTATCCATATGACAATGAAGGGAAACTCTTTACTTTATAGCAAGGAGGATAAATCTTCTTGCACGTAATCAAAACAAACACAGTTATTAAAGACTTATCAAAAAGGTATTTTTTTCGAATATTCACCTAAAACACCACAGTAACGCTCATAACATGATGTGGGCTTTTGCAGTTTATACACGTAGTAGCCGTCACATTGTGTTATGTCAACGGGGTAGGATCTCTGGCAGCAGTCTGAACTCCAGTGCATGCATACAGTTGTTGTCACCGTGGTGTAGAGACTAGTCGGATGATCACCATTTATCCATGAAGATCTATGGGTACTGCAACTTGATTTGGGAATGCAATACGACGCCATCATCCTTCCAGCTCCTCCAACAAAGCGATACCACTTATTGTTGACAAATTTAGGGTCACCCCCATCGCAGATTACAGAACCACTATTATTGCTCCAATATCTTCCAGGCTCATCAAGGTCAATGTAGGAGTTACATTCTGTTGGAACTATCGATCCTGATGGGATGTGAACAAATTAATCAGACAGACAGACACGTATAGTTACTCTCCCTTTACCTACAATTTGTTACTTTATTTAGAACTTGGGTCAATTGAAGGAATGACGCTGCAATGTCGTGCTCAAAGTCCTTTTTTCTCTCTCTTTCAATGTTGGCCTCGAAATTGAACAATTCCACGTTGATTGTATTCTGCCATCTTCCGTCTGTCATCATTTCTTTGAAAGGGCACTCGCTTTTAGACTAATTTTATATATAGACTGGTCAAGCTGCAAGCGGCTATATTTCCTCGTGTTCAGCCTAAACTCCTACAACCTCCGCCACTCGACACACCCCATTTTAGAGCTAAAATTTATAGTGCGTAAATATCGCGTACAGAAGGGGGGGGGGGGGGGGGGGTGGCTGCATTCGTCTAGGAAAAGCAACATAAATTAAAAATCACAATGAATTCTTAAAAGAACTATTAAGTCATGAACGATCCATTCTGAAAGGAGATTAAAACTCATTAAAAGGGGAAAAATGTTTCTTGGTTTCCATCTAGCTGCTCATTTTTTAGTTGTCTTCGTTAGAACTCATCACACTTTAGTTTTTGCATCTCAATGACATAATCATCTGCTTATGGCAATTCCAAAAACTCAGTCTTCACTTCCTTGAACGTGCAAGATGGGGCATTTAATGGACGATCGATGCTGTCGAGTAATTTAAACATCACTTTTCAATAAATAACTGACTTCAAACGTTGCATTTTTTTACCCGGCCCCTTTAATGAAGTGTAGAAAACACAAGCGTCCCAATACCAGAAACAAACACGGATTCAACGGATTTCCGCGATCTCATTATTAGCCGCCATCTTAAATGATGTCACACGTCTCTACGAAACTGCCATCTCTGGTGGTACAGCAGTAAACTAACCTATTAGCTAAAGTATTTTCTCCTACCTTGGCAGTTTTTTCCATCGCCTGTAAATCCTGCCTTACAAGTGCAGGAATACGATCCACGAGCATTGGAGCAGTTAGCGTTGATGTCACATACAGAAGGGCAAGCACTGCATTCGTCTATGTCTAAGAAAAACAACTCTAATTAAAAAATCACTAGTCCACTTTGAATTCTTAATAGAACTAAAAATGCATCAAGAAGGGAAAAATGTTTCATGGTTTCCATCTAGCTGCTCCTTTTTAGCTGTCTTTGTCAGAACTCAACACACTTTTTTTGCATCTCTCATTATCATCTGCAATGTCTGCAATCGGCAATCCGCCATAATCAACCCACAACCCTTCTGTGTGTGAACTCTCTGCCAGATGTTGTTACATCAAGCCAGATTGCCGCGTTTGCCGATGACACAAAGGTTTTCAAAGAAATAACATCAACGCGCGATGCAGAAAATCTTCAGGAGGACCTAGAAGAATCTGACCACTCGACCACGTCAGATAGCCTAAACTTTAACTACAGCAAATGCAAAGCGCAGCGCATACTAGGAAACTTAAACCCGTCATCTTTGTCTATCATATGGCCGGCTCTCAGCTTGAAGTTGACTCTGCCGAGAAGGATCTTACATCACTGATAACCTTCCGCAGAATAAGCAAGTCAATGTGCAATGCGCTTAAAGGCCAGCAGGCCCCTGGGATATGTACGGAGAAACACCAGACACCAGACTCGTCAAAAGCATTACGGTTAGACACTCGGCATACCTTACCCTAGTAAGATCCATCTTGGCTATGCCACGCAAGTCTGGACTCCGCAGTCAATAGACCTGATTCGAAAGCTCGAGCGTGTCCATAGGCGCGCTACAAAGTATACTGGATCTACCATTCATTTGTGACCATATTGTGAACATATTGAGGGACAGGCTAATGTAACGTAACGTGTCTATCGGCCGTCTCCGTTGTTGTTTTTAATGGTCATAAGACGTTTTACTGTTTCTTACATATCTTTTAAGCTCTGGGACCACTGTAATTGGCTCACCGCTGTCGTGGCACCCCTGCCTATTAAGCATTTATTATTCATTGTTCAGTAATAGGCGAAGCTAATAAAATAAAATAAAATAAACCCGCATAACCGAGTCGATAACAAGTTGTTTAGACCACATTCTTTCTAACTTATAACGTCAAGTACTAGTGGTAGCATTGCTCTACAAATAGCTGATAATTTGCCAGTCTTGACTCTTTCGCATGATCCTAAGCTAAGTCCGTTTCCTCGTAATAAAATTGACCTTAGAGATTTAAAAGTTTAAACGAACACTATGCTACCTGTTATCTTGCTCAGTATAATCACCGCCATACCGACCCTCTTATGTTCTTAGAGATTTTTGTGTACTTTTCTTTTTTCTCTCTTTTATATTTCATACTTCATATGCTTATATTTTTTTCTCTTTTACCCTAAATAAAACTGTAATTTAATCATAGGGCATGTAATTTAAGTTTCACAATATCTTGCCCTTCTCCCGACCATTTATTCCTGTAATCCGTGATACATAACTGAAATCTTATGAATGGTATCTTCGAATCTGTAATAAAATATAAATGGCCTGTAATATAAATAAATGGAGGAAATAATAAAATACAAAAAAAAAAAAAAAAAAAATACAAAATGGAAATTCCAAAAACTCAGTCTTTACTAGCTTGCACGTGCAAAGTCAAGGGATCCGATTTTAGTAGCCGTCTTTGAACACGTTCATAGTGGCATCATGGGTAATCAGGGCAAGATGGCGGGAAATTCAACGATTTGTATCGGAATTCAAAGCCAGCTTATTCTTCCTGAATTCATATATATTTACCACGTTCTCTTTGAAAAGTGTAACTTATGAGCTGAATCTGCATTGCATAATAGCCCAAGATCAGTTTTTAGAAAACCTCAACTTTTCCATACATTTTCTGTAATTTTGATACTGTCGAATTACAGAAAATGAAAGGAGAAATCAAGGTTTTCTAATAACTGATCACGGACTTCTTTGCACCCCAGATTTAGTGCTTGGAACTCTTAAATAATTTTATTCTCTTCAAGGAGAAAGCATCAAATGTATGAATTCAGGAAGAATTAGCTTGCTTTGAATGCCAATACAAATCTTTGAATTTCCTGCCCTCTTGCCCTGATTACCCATAATGCAACTATGATCGTGAAGCCGTCTATTTAAACATCACTTTCCGTTAAATAATTGAATTCAAACGTTGCATTTTAAGTGTAGAAAACACATCAATCGTCCCGATACCAGAAACAAACACGGATTCAATGGATTACCGCGATCTCATTATTAGCCGCCATTTTAAATGATGTCACACGTCTCCAGGAAACTGCCATCTCTGATGGTACAGCAGTAAACTAACTTATTAGCTAAAGTAGTTTCCCCTACCTTGGCAATTTTTTCCGTCGCCTGTAAATCCTGTCTTACAGGTGCAGTAATACGATCCACGAGTATTGGAGCAGTTGGCATTAATGTCACATACAGAAGGAGAAGCACTGCACTCGTCAGTGTCTAAGAAGAACAACATTTATTAAAGAAAACACTTTCTTAATGGAAATATTCAGTTCTGTTGAAATTAGCTAAAGTATCTTATATTACCTTGGCAAGTTTTTCCATCGCCAGTGTATCCTGCCTTACAAGTGCAGTAATAAGATCCACGAGTATTGGAGCAGTTGGCGTTGAGGTCACATACAGAAGGGGAAACACTGCATTCGTCAATGTCTACACAAACAAACATTATTGAACGGTCGATAAAATATCGAAAAAATTAACAAGCTTAATCAGTCGCCGATAATACAACTGACCAAACTCACCGTTGGTCTTCATATTGCAATAAGCCAGAACAGATGTACCAGATTTTACAGTGGAAAACCAATATTTCCCGCTAACAGCCTGTCCTTCACTCCTCTTTATTTCGTCACAAGTCTCAGCTGGCAATTCTTGAATCGAACCAAGGGGAACTAAAAGGTCAGAAACAGATCTATATTAATTTATCAGTATGCTTTTACAATGCATACATTTTACTTACTGCCGAAGTGTGGAGTGGGAGAGAGAAAAAGAGGGGAGGGGGGTGTGGGAAGCTCTAGGGGTTTATGCCGGCAAGAATTAGAAGGAAAGTGAAAAAGGTCAGTTGGGAAAAGAAAATATACAAATATGAAATCTACAGTACATAGACAAACAAAAAATAACTGCAAAAGTAAAAGCAAAAGAAGCTGCTCCAACAATCAAACCCAGCACATCTTATTTTTGGCACCACGTGCGTCCATGCTGTCAATAAATGTGACTTATAATATGTAAATAATGCTAAAGTAAGTGATAACTATAATGATATACGGTTAGTAAAAATAGAAATAAAACCTCAGTTTTAAGAGAAAATGCTAATTTTGAAAACACGGCTGTCAATACTCGGTTTCCATAGTAACGTCATTGTTGACGTACTCGTCACGAGGACTTTAAAAGTTTCCAGATAAATGTTACTAAAAAGCCTTCCCGTGGAACTTCCACCTTTTTTTTATTGACATCTGAGCATCGGTCTTCAATTTACTCCAAAAGACAGATTTCAGCCTAAATGTTCAAGCGGAGCTAGTTCAGGCGAAATGTAACTTATAGTCCCCTTCCAGTCGGATCCTCCGATCCCCGTATAGGCCATTATAGGGAGACCCCCTCCTTGGTATGCTGGCTCACCTCGCTTTAAATCGCGTGGATAGTAAGATCTGTCTGGGTTTGGAATGAAATCCTCCGGCCTGGCTTCCTTTGTCCTGTTGTTAAACTCGCAAGTGAGAAGAGAGATCACCCAGTTAAAACTTTGGCATCGATTGTCTTCTCGACACTTGAATACGCATGTAAAGGGAAGTTCCGCTAGAAGAGTGTCGTATACGTGTCCTCGCAACATCCAGCCAATGATGGAGCTCTCGGATCTTCCACTTGCAGGACATTTTTGAGTTACTGCGAGGTAGAGCAGGAGAGCCACAACTGAGATACGGAACGCTATCCTCGCTGTCATGTCTGGAACTCCCGTCTAAAGTATAGAAAAGTAAATTGTAATAAAACGAGCACTTTACAAATGTTTTTCGTATCCTGTCACTTGTAGCCTTTTCCTATGTTTTAGGTTCATTACAAGAATGTTATGAGAGTTTCGTGATCATAAACAAGCTGTATACAAATTTTCTATAGTTAACACAACATAACAGCCGAAGTGATTCGCAATTCGCCATCCCTTGGACGCTGTCTATTTCAAAACCCCCTAAATAAAGAAGGGTTAACGGAGAATAAAACGAGGAAAGACAATTGAAAGTCTCACTGACGAAATTTAGTTATTGCTTTCAAAGTCGCTGAAACGAGTGATTTGCCTTACCACTACTGCCTCCCCTTTCGTTGCAAAAAAGCCTTTTGTAATCAGCCTGCTTAGGCTTAAATTTGTGCCGTGATAAGAAAACTTAATTCTTATATTTCCTCAGTGATTTTAACACCTTAAGAGAATCAGATACCAGAGGAGAAGCTTAGCTTTCTATTTAAAACATCGGTAAAATAACTAGCAACATTAACGCCCTCGGTTTTTCACATTTATTCAACTCGTTATCAAAACGATGGAAAACGATGATCTTCCTCAATAATTCGAATTCATATGATCAAAGGGAAAATAAGAGTTTTAAAAAGTACCCTTTTTTTGTTGAAAAATAGCAGAACCTGTTCTAGGTTCTTGAATAAAAAAACGTTTGTCAATTAATGGTTACTATGGTTATGATGGTAACAGTAGCGAAAGCAAATAATTTTTGACTCCAAAATTGGTACGCGGGCGACAATTATTAGAGAACCAGAATTGCTTAAAACTTTTACTTTAAATTAGCTATTTTTTCCACCCACACTCCTCAAATTCTAGGTAGTATATTTAAGTTAAGGGAAATAATAAATTTAAAGCCAGCGAAATTAGTGGGAATACGGCCAATGCCCATGCAATAATACAAATTCGACAAGAAAGTAGCACATTAAGTTTTAATTTTGTTACCGATACTATTGTCAACTGGCACAGTTAATTAACGGCCCGCGACCGGCTAATGGAAGCTAAAACGTAAATGTCATCAGCCCACGGCCGGCTTCAGTTATTTGCGAGGAGTAATTTGACACGACATGCAGATCGCCCACTATAATGAAAATGGAATTTTCAAATGGTTGGCGCCGATAATTCCTTTTACGAAGACATACCAAATAATCAATAATTTATGTCCATAAATGTTTAATTGCAAAAGACAGTTTTAGGGCTCACCATCTTGACAAACCCGATTTCTCAATCCGGAGTATATTCCACGCTGAACAGGCGATTATTTTCACCGTAAGAAAATATCGTTTCGTTTAATGTTCGATCCTCTTCTAATACCATTCAAAAAATATATTAAAATAAAATAACAAAAACTGACACCTTAGGAGTTCTGTGCCACTACTTGGAATTTTAACGCTCATTCTAGAACTTTGTAGTGTTATTTTTGGCTCAGGAACGTTTTTTTTTTTTTCTGAACTAAGCGCTCATGAGCTAAAAAACTAAAATAAAATAAAAACTGACGGCGTTCAAAACTAAATCATCCCTCTTTTCTGTAATAGGCAACATGCTACTAACGAGAAAAAGTCATTCTTCTGGACGTTCACAGAGGTGCTTTTTCCTTTGAAATTCTCAATCATCGGCCCAGATGACTACGCGCGTAACAGTAAAAATTAAAAGGTTAATAGTTACAAGCCTTTAGCGCTTCGTCAGGACCTCCTCCCAGACGAACATCGTTTGTGGAAAAAGACGAAGTCATACCGATCAGAAGTATTCTGAGAGGGAGGCGATAAATGGTCCTTATGAAACTGTAGGAATAAAAAACTGAGATCTGAACGTGAGTGCAACTGCAATTCGGTGCAAGCTGTGTGAATACTTGACATGGCTACTTGTTAATAACTCAATTATTTCTTCTTTTTTGAGAGTTTTCTTCATGATAGCTTTTAAAGAACACGAAACGTAACCAGCTGGATGCTGGAGCCTTACACTGTACTAAACTAACGGTAAGCCATGAAGTACTGAAATACATAGGAGAAAACTCCAACAAAATACCCTTACATCGGTTAAAAAAGGAATCATTTAAGTTAAAAAAGGGACAAAACGAAAATTCTCACCAGTTTCCAGGAGTCTTGGTGCGGTATTCAGTATCTTGAAACCTTTTTCCGTAAAGTAGTTGATGAGTTCAACATGTATAGAGTAAGGTGTGTCGATCCCCAATAATGGAATTCGACTTAAACAGAGTTGCGATGGTGACAATTTGATATTATTTAATATTTTATAACGAACCCAATACAAATGTTGTCATTTAGTTGACTAGATAATTTGTAGAGTATCAAGCTCATGTAGCAAATTAAATTGATCATCGAAAATTGGTCACTGGCCAGTTCGCTCCCAGTGAACTCAGCAGGAGGTGGCTTGCTAATATTTTTTTCTTTTTTGTGTTCTTACATCAACAAAAAACTGTGCCAAAAATTGAGGGTAGAGCGTAATGAAATTTTCAAATTGATGCTTGGCGCCATGTGATTAATATTGATTTCTTCTTACATATTATCCTAAATTTTAAGAAAATCTTCCCCAAATAACATACGAAACAAAAAGTTATTCCTTTGCTCAGTTAATTGGGAAAAAATTATATTTTGAAGATAAGCAAGATAACAAGCTCATTGCTACAGTTGAGTTTCTCTTTTGTTATTTCAAATGAATAGAGGATTAATTATCCATGATAGTTTTTTCAAAATGATCTCAAACCAGGATAGGCTTATGGAGCGTGTATAGATTGAAGTAAGCAGGTGAACTCAGTATCAGTTTGAGATTCCATGGCAAGTTTGCAAAAAGCTAGGACCTCAAGTTACACAGTAAAAGTCGATAATAAATTAATATGTAAAATTTTATTCAGTCTGAAAGCTTAATATCCGTTTTATTCTTTTTTTCAGAGACTGTTGATTGCAAATTACGATACCTTTTTCTCTTTCGTATTGAGATATTTAATGCTTTTAGAATTTCTGAAAATATTTACTGAAGCTTTATTAGCTCGTTTGAACAACTCTTTCACAATTTATGAAGTAATTTATAACTCTTTCTAAGCTAGATTCCACACAAAAATGTTGCTTACGCTTCCTAGACGTACTTAAGCATGGGTAATTGACTCTAAACCGCAAAGCCTTTCATTTTGTTAAATGTTGTGAACAACTAAACTTTATCGACAAATCATCCGTTTCGTTGAAGCACTTACTTGTTTGGGCACGGCATGATATTTTATTATACCACACCTCTTTCATCAAACACGTAGTAAAACTCGTTTTGTTTCGTTTTGTTTCATTTGCGCTCCATTTTCTTTCCTTTTTTATTATCTATAAAAACACCATAGAGTTAAGAAAGGAGTGGTGGACGTAATGCTCTGTCCAATTATGTTCCAATGCCAAATGATAAAGCTAGAAAACAATATATATATATATATATATCTACTTAATTGTGCTTGGTTCGGTAAGTTCAAGCCTAATTTGACGTAAAATATGCATGGTGTTCATTATGGACCCAAAACGTGTTATCTTATTATAGGAAATTAACGCTCCATGAAATTAGCGAATAGGGAGGAGAAGTCTTTACGTCACGTTGCCATGGTAGCAACATTTCTGGATGACAACAAACCGAAAACGTTACTTAAAAAGTGAAATCGCACTGTTTCAAACTTTATCGATGTCAATTATTTCCATTTAATTTGTCAAATGTTGGTGAAACTTTCTGGGGTTGATCCGAGAAGACAGTATGAAAATGAATTATACAAAATACGAAGAGAATATTAAGTAGACCAAAAAAACACTAAGTAGATTTATGTATCCCCGTCTAAGGAAATCTGGATTCCGGAATCCAAGAAAGTCTTGCTTGTGGAATCCAGAATGCAGGAAATTCTTGTTTGTGGAATCGGGAATCCTGGGTTTTGGAAAACGGAATACAGCTCAAGGAATCCGAAATCCACTAATGATTGCAATTGCGGGAATCCATTCGACAACTTCCACTGACAAAGAATCTGGAATCCAGTATCTGGAATCCGGAATCCACGGCGTGGAATCCAGAATCCCAGACTGCCTTGGATTTCATTACTACTTGGGGCGATTTATTAATGATATCCTATAGATTTGAACGATATTTCTCCTGGCAAGTTTTACCCTAATCAAAATACAAATCTCAACAACTTTCGTACGCGTGGTTTCCTGTGAGAAGATGGAAAGGTTGGTGAGAGGAACTGGTGAGTACCGAAAAACTGGAAGAGTGAAAAAAAAAAAGTCAAGCTAATGCTTCTATTGTGTGTTTTCAGATGACGTCATGGCGGCCATATTTGTGTCCCAAAACAATGATACGACGGCCATGTTTATGTCCTAAACCAGCCCTGTGGGAGTTGAACTCTTTTTTTATGTAAACGCTTTCTTTTGTTCCAATAAATTTGCATAGATGCTGGCCACGTGAGTCAAAACACAGAATTACAATGTTGTAGAACTGAAACGAATCCAGAACAGCTTGGTTTCAGAAAGCAATGGTAACAGAGCGTCTGCTGGAACAAGAGAACAAAAGAAGAAAAAGACGACAATTCCTCGTTTTAACTTGAAAGGAAACAGGATCGTTGATTAAACCACTCTTGGAAGTCTATACAAAATGTAATTAACCACTCATCAGTTGGTCCTGTAATGGGAAGGGTTTAGGTTGCGTTATTCACAGTTTTATTGCGATGGATGCGGTATCTCATAAAATATTTTTCTTTTCGTCGAATGTTTCAGTTACAGGTTTGTTTGGCCGATAAAGGTTCCTAAAGTGGTCATCGTCTTCACGGTTAATACTTCTACCTGCTTCGATCATAAGAATTAATTAATTCCTGCCTTCTTTTCCTACTGGTTCTATTCCCTTTTAGCACTGAGGGGAACGGGATATTAAGGCTGGTATTTGACCGTCAGTCTGGCTAGAACTGTTTGGCCTTTTTGAGGAGGACTTGAAGTTTACTTGACACCAGAACACGAGGCACATGCCATACCATCGTTAATTAAAAAATAAGCGACAAAAAGTATTTACTTCTACTTATTCTAGCTGTTGTAGCGTATTTGACACCAGTGTGGATCGAGATCACTCGAGAAAAATGCACCTCAAAAGTCCTAACAGACGTTCTGGCAGCATAGGACGAAGTACTCTTTTCGGCAACCAGGCTGCTTCCACGATACAAACAAATGGTGACCTGCAAACTAGTTGAAGTGCCGCTCACTCCCCACAGACGGTATCTTGCTGGAATGACGTCATCATCTGTCTAGAAATCGATTGCGTCAACTGGGTCACTGGCAGTAGTGGGATCAGTAGAGTGTACCCAGTCAGTCAATCATTCGGATCCCTGGACCTTTCCTACAAAGCATGAACCTGTTAGATCGGCCCAAGCGAAGACAAGCTGGACGACAGCAGCAGCTTATTAAATTTGAATATATTTTATGAATTAAGAGAGAGAAGTGGAGAATATTAATGCGGATATCAAAAACAAGACTTGACCTTAAGATCTTATGAAAACAATAATTTGGACTATCACTAAGACGATAAACTGTGGTCGCAATCGTAGGTGCACTTTTGATGTAAACGGTATATGGTTTTCTTTGTGTTTAAAGGGCCAGGATGTTGGGGTCGTTGTCACTCCCTACCCCCCGTGGAACCGCGTGACCGAAATCACATGATGGATAATAACAAAGTCATGAGCGTGTGCTTTGATGCATTTTGCTTTCCTTTAGTTGGACATTTGAGAACGTCAAAATATGTTAGTCCCCTGTGTCTTTGACTTGTAAACCCCCTAAAATGTTGTTATCCGAACATTGTGGTTTTGTAACACGTTGCAGCTGTAACTAGATTGGAATGCCAAACGGAGTCGCAGATTTGAGTCTTCAATCAAGTATTCCTCATGTGTGGTTTGTTTTATACCGGTATTGATTTCTTTACATTTTGTTTGTTTGTTTGTTTTCCTTTTTTTAAAATGTGAGAAACAGCAACAAGAGGGAAGTGCCCAAGAACAACCCAAGAAAACATAATGGAATTATGTATTTTAACAGTTCAAGGTTCGTTTATACCAATATTACACCATCTGTGAAATTTGCTGACTCTCCTGTATATTTTGACATTCCCCATTTGAATAAATGATACCAAATGTTAGTAGTATAGTAGCAAACGAATTAACTATTTTCCTGTGGTAGAATCTCGGTTACGCCGATGACATCATAGGCTTTAGTCCTTATCTCATGAGTACAATGCAGTAGAATCTCATTAAGATAAGGCAATGTTGTATTTCTAGGCGGTTTAACCGGTTTGAAATGGTTTCGATCATTTCAGTGTGGAAGCTCATAAAGAAAAGGTCGTCTGCTATTTTAGGTGATAAATTCTTTATCTTTTAACGGCTTGCGATAAGGTTCTCGTCAGGGACTCAGGGTGCTATTTGTAAAAGGCCGATATCTAAAAAAAGTATTGCATTGATTTTAATCAAGAGCCCCTGTTTCGACCAAGCTGATCGAGGGAGTATGTCTTAGTAGTTTTATTGGTGTTTCCTAAGCCCCTGTCAAGCTGAGGATCTAAACGTAATAAAAAAGACCGAGGAAAAAATAGCGGCCTCGCATGTGTTCCCTCGCCTCCTTCCTTGCGCGACCTTCCCGCTCTTGTGCGCCCATACTATCCCCCTCTCTTTTCCCTTTACACCCTTGTCACACAATCTAGCTGTACCTAATGAGATGTAGTTTTATAAAGGCCCCCTTAATATGGAGAGAAGCTGTCCCGCGAGGGAGGATCACCCTCCCGGTAAATTTTAAGCGAGCGTTTATATGAGAAAAACGTTTTGACCCCTTTGCCCGATATATACGCGCGCTCTCGCGTCCTCTGATTATCTCGCCTTGACCGAGTTGACTTCTAACTGAGCGAGCAATAAAAGAGTTTACATGAAGAAAAGCTGCCCAGCATGGAGGGTTACCCTATCTTCGAGAAACGGTAACTCGGCTAGGTGGGTCAACATTTTAATCGAGCCACCTTTTTGTTCTAGAGTAAACGATTCGCCAAGTCTTGGGAAAATGTATGAAAATTGGCTCTTGAGTAGGCGAGTAACCCTCCTTCTACGCGGGACATCATTTCTTCTCCACATAAAGGGGGCCTACGTAATACTTCTTATGAATTATCACATTCGCTTTCGATCACACAGATACAAACGGAACTCGACCCCTGGGAAATTTTTTTTATACACTAGCCATCAGACGGCCAAATTAGCCTGTAATAGGCCTTGTTTAAACGTTTGATTACTGTAGAAAAAAATGTTCTTCTTCCTTCGAACCGTCAAATTACCAGAGGCCTCAGTAATAATATTCTTCGCTGCGCATGTGTACTGCCCAGTATCGTTATAAATTAGATTCCTAACAACCAACTCTCCTTCTCTGATCAAATACTTTGCACCTGTCAAAAGTTTTCCGCCCTTCAATCGCCATTCGATACTGGGAGTAGGATTTCCTCCAGCTCTACATTAAAACGGCATATTATGTCCCTCATCTCGAGTCTGATCTGCAGGTCACATCAGCAGATATCGATTTCCCAGGGCTCTCAGTTGGTCCTGGCATACTTTTTGACCTGGATTCTCTAATATCTTTCTTTCTCCTCTCGACTTTTTTGGACCAGTCTTATCCGTTTTTCCAGGTACTCCAGTAGCTCCCGGCATACCTTTTGGCCAAGTCCCTCCCTTGTCTCTCTTTTCTCCTTTTGATCGTGTACGACCCGTCATTCCTGATTTTCCAGATTTTCCAGTGGTGCCATGGGACCTTGAAGACCTTTCTTTCCCTTTGGTGTCCTTCTTCCACGTGGTCCCTTCGCACCAGTGAGACCAGGATATCCGGGGGACCTGCGGGACATACCTTCTCACTTGACTTACAGTACTTGGTGGGTATCAGTTTTTCAATCTGTGTGGTGATTTCTTTTCGCACGTCCTGTATAGTAGTGGTACTTCATCTTTTGACGCCTTCTTTTCGAAATCATTAAAGATGGGCGACTGCAGGTAAAACTAAATACCCACTCCACGGCAGGCCAGGCGCCTCAAACGCGGGAAAACACGAATGGCAAAACGGTTTGCGTTTGGTTTTACTTTTACGGCGCCGTCTGAGAGGTATTTGTTTTGCGTTTTTTATCCGTACAGCTAATATGGTTCCGGCTTGAGTTTGTGGCTGATGTAAATAAAAAAACGGGCCTTTTATCATTAAAACAAGAAAAATAATCACATATGGGCTTTTTAAGAGTTTCATCAGATCAGCTTTGCTGGTCAGACTCTACTTTAACTTGGCAGGGAGGGGATAAAAGAAAGAGAAGAGGCAAGAGGGGTGGGGGAGGGAGCGATTATTCAAGGGAGGCGATTATTTTAAATATTTCCGTCCAAAGGAGGCAATTAATCGAGACACATGCAGCTATTATTTGAGGGAACACTACATTCATGATCATCATCACTTCCTTTTTCCAAAATGGAATACAAGGCAGGAAATCATCCTTCTCCAACAGTCTCTATCCAGGACAACGATTTAGGCTTCAGCCCTATTCAGAGCGCTTGTAAAGATGGGTGGATAATTCTCTGCTGATTGAAAGTCGTGTGTGTCTACAAGATCTATTTTCTGTGAGACTGAACTTCAGTAAATGTTGGTTCCTCGCTGGCAGCTCCCATCAGATCATTGTTTCGCACCCAGCGCCGGTTAATGTGAACCGCAGTAATGTTATATGAGATGTAAGCCGCAGCGCCGAGATCTACCTCCCTTTCCCATGCAAAGCGGGCCTTTTTTCTTTTTCTTGCGCTCAACGCCCCCCTCGCCGTTGCCTCCGCACGCCTGAAACACGCAAACAATTAAGCCGGTTGTAGACTCAGTGAACCTCCCTTGCTCTTGTGGAATAAAAGTATGGGTTGCTGGCGTCCTCTTCGAGCATTCAAATCAGAGACTGAGAAAATCAGAATTCATCGGATAAAAATACATATCAGATGTTTCAATAAAAAGTGACAAGAAAAAAGCGCAAAAATACAGTTGTATACGTAAAAGTGAACTAAGCCTTCCAAAATTTTTAAAATCTGGTATTTAATATACAGCTTGTTTATAGTTAAAAATCAATCTGTTAAAAAAAATCTGTTTTTACAAACATTCAAAATTAATATTTAAGTCGCATTCCTGTTATATTTCTTAAGCGCTCCGATGAATCTTTATACCTAGGATGCAAATTATGTGACGGATGGTCACAATGTTTAAGTCTGTAAAAGAAGTAACTCATAATTCACTGATGTATAGCGACTCTAATTGTGACGTTTTTTACATTGTAAAAGCTTTGCTAAGCAGGAAGGTCTGAAACGCTAGCAGCGTAAACTGAAAGGCCGTACACAATTTTAGGGAGCACAATCGCTTTAAAAAGGAGGTCTGTTTTGCCTTGTGTGTATCCTTTCTTGTGCAGGCTTCCAATTATGACTTTACAATCTGAGCGAATCCTCGCGCGCTGATTGGTCGAGAGCTATGGTTTATGAGAGTATAGACCATGGAAATGACGTAACATGTCACGCAGTGCCGGTAGTTTAATTGAAAAAAATAAGGTGTACACGGACGGTGTAATCTTTATCAAGTGAAGAATGATTCTCGCAGTTGTGAACACAATTTATGCAATTGCGTAAGAGAAGCCTGGAAAAAAAATTCAGGACTTCAACAGGATTTGAACCCGTGACCTCGCGATACCGGTGCATGCTCTATAAACCAACTAAGCTATGAAGCCGCTAATGCCGGGATCAGGCTAATTATAAGTTCATATATATGTCGTAGTTAATTTTTTATCTCAGGTAATTTTTATTTTTCCTTTGTTTCAACTTCGTTAGCATACCTTATCATACCCAAAAACAAAAGAAAAACAAAAATTACTTGAGATTAAAAAAGTAACTGCAACATATATGTTCCCGTGAAAGTGATAAAATGTGACAAATGTACATGTTTATTAGAAATGAACTGTAAGTTCACTAAAATCAGACTAAAATATTACTTTTCGATTTTTCCTTCCAAGGTCATGGATAAATATGGCCAAGTGGAGATTGAGACCGAAAATAGTTTAAAGTTGTTTCGCATTTTATTTCATTTTGCTTTTTTTTTAATTCATAGCATTACTACGTTTTCTCTAGTCGACACAAAAAGACAAACAGGAACTTTTACAGTTGTAAAAGAAAAAACGTTTTGAAGGTACACTGGAGAAAATGTTAACTTTCCTTTGATCCAAAACTTGTCTCTTTTTGCACCACAATGACATATTAAACCGATATCACATTCAAAGTTTAATAAGAATAAACTTGACAACCGTTTCTTAAACGTTAACAGGTTTGATTTTCATCTCAGCACGTTTAGCGGAGTACCTGGGACCCTTCCACTTATTCCACATCACACCTCCCCAAGCGTTGGAGTGTGAGCCTCTATAATAGAAGCCGTTTAGAAAGGCATAGTGACAGTCTTTGAACCACCAGCCTCCCTTCCAATGCTGGGCACAATGGCCACCGTACAAATCATTGTCCTGATCTTTGGTGGAGAACGCCATACCATTGTGATACGAGAACGAGTCGCCGGCGGTTCCTAAAAAGATAAATAAACAACGGCATCTTATCTTGTTTCGGGAAAAATAATTAGAAGTTAAAAATTGATGCATGCAGTTTTCAAGACGTATTTAAGACGGGGAACGGGCAACGAACAGGAGGGTTAACGGGAAAATTGAAAATGGAAACAAGGCCTCAACCCAATTACCCATTGTCTCTCTGGTCCACTTTAAAGTAACTCCCAAGTTTTAAGGAGAAAATACTGTGATTAGAAAACTGAATTAATCACAGGAAATTAATGAAGTGAGGAATATAGAAACAAAAATTTTAATAAAAATGTAAAATGTAAACCCCTGTTTATAGTGGATGGGCACTTAGCTGATCTCCATTCACAAATAATCAATCACAAACATATAATCACATCACATCACGCATAGTACATCACCTTTATATAACCTCGGATTTAAAGTGTAGCTCTTGAAGGTAGAAACCTTTAGCATCAGGCAAACCGCAAACCGCTGTTACGCGTTTGCAGTTTCGCGTTGCCGAGATTTCAAACTTCAGCAAGGCGTTCAGTTCAGTTCATTTTTATTTATCCAAAATATAATACAATACAAGAATAGATATAGGAATTGTAAAGGCTGTGAATTCAGTAACAAGGTAGAAAAAAAATTAACTCTGGATTGGAACAGAGTACTTTCCTTTGTTAGTACGACAGAAAGGAATTATATAAAATTGATTGAACTAAGCGTTCATTGTTTAGGTCCGCCATGTTGTTTTCATCAAGTCGGAAGTGCATCACTTTAATCGCCCAAAAATCAGCAACAATTCATTGATTCGAGATCAAAAATGCAACAAACACATCGCAAACGGATATAAAAACCTAGTTCATACCTTTAAATGTGAGGCTGTACAATTTTTTGTGGCACAAAACCTTGTCGTCAATCACTTACCCCTGGAAGCCCTTCCTGCGGTTCAAACGTGAACTGCAAACTGCAAACGTGACCGCGAGGCCGTGGTCACGTGACATTTTGCGGTTTGCGGATTGCAGTTTCCCATGAAAAACCTGATGCTAAAGGTCTCTACTATCTAAACAAAACCGGCGTAACTTAGTTCTGTCAAAAACAGCAAAAGGCAGAAGGCAAGAAGCTGGCAATTCACAAACATGGCCGGGAAGTTGAACTCAGAGCTGTCGAGAAACCTGGGGGTTACTCCCTACGATGGCCTATAAGGAGAGGCCAAGCCTAGCCGATGCGAACCGCGCGAGGGGCCGACGACTACTTTTCACGATATACCCCAAATGGAGAGCTTGCTCGCGGGCTAGGCCACGCCCGAAGGGGGTACCTTTATCCAGGTTTCAGGTATAATATATAGATTTAGTATATACTAAAACAGTGGATACTGTTTTTCGCGCCCTCTGATTAGCTACTCAATCAGTGAATATCATGCACTATTCACTGATTCACTGATTCACTGATTCCAGTTCCCGAGCGAGCGACGCGTAAGTTGCTAGCAAAATGCCTTCACGGTTTGCTGCCGTAACAAACAAAGAATTTTTACGACTAATATAGCAAGCTGTTCCCGAAATACACGAAGAAGGTGACGAAGTTCGGTTTGAGAGTTTCAACAGGTATAAAACCTCGTCTTTTTGACTTGAATTTATCGATAAAACCGGTGAAAAAGTTTTTTGTTTACAAATGCAAATTAAGGTTAAGTCTTGTGTTACTTTATCTAGTTGACTTGTTCATAAATAAACTTAAAACTAAATGTAATCGTCTTTTTTACAGAATGATTTTAAATACACAAAGAATTCACAACTCCTTTTGAAGAAATTTCCCCGCCAAAGCTAAACAAATGCCTTTAACAGTTTTATTTGTCGGCAAGAAAAAGCGACGACTGCGGCCGTTCGGTCATTGCGCGCCAAAATTGTAATCGTTGGCAACAGTAAATGAGTTAAAAATCATCATTTTTGTGCTCAATTATCTCACTGTTTTAATATATACTGAAACAATTATTCACCTCAGTGTCGGTGGCTAGTGGTATACCTAAGGGGTTGGACTTGTATAAACATTTGTTGAGTATCCCCCCCGGGCGAGAAACAACTCCAGATAATAAGGGGGGGGCGCAAACCTGGATTTCCCGCATTGCAAGGTGTCAAATGTCTGCATATTGGGGTGAAGAGAGAAACGTGCCATGACGATATCCGTGCGAGAAGAGGATTTAACTTTACTTAAGATGACTCTGCGCCTTCTGAACGTTCAATGAATCGACCCGTTGTCACAATCTCGTACGCATGTCATTGTAAGTAAGGTAAATTAAACTTTAGCTTCCAGCCAATGTACTGACTTAATCAAGATTTGCTTTATGGAGGTGCCCCCATCCAGTCTATTCCCCTCAAAGCACTAACCTGCATACGTTCCAAGAGTTAGCCTGTATTTGTTTCCTTCGTCAGCAACGCCAAACAAGTCGTACTCAGCGTAAGCTGTTTGTCCGTTAAAATCTTCGAGTTCCACCCGAAGCCTACTTCGATCTTTCGTCAGACGGTGAACCTTATCCAGTCCAAGCCAAAATTCCCCGCTTAGACTCCCGAAGCCTTGTTTGTAGTCTTTCCAAACGCGATCGAAGTCAACTGAACCGTCAAGTCTTTTTTGAAACACTGTCCAACCCCCACCTGCTGTTGTTTGGTCACAATACACATCAAAGGCACCGGCATTATCGGGGTCGACGTGGTAAACACCACTTATTCGTTGACCTGCTTTGTAATGTTCGGCACAGCTTTTGCAAACTGAAACTAAAATAATGTTGGAAAATATGTTTAGGAGTACCAATGAACAACACGCTCTGCCTAGTAAATACTTTCCTAGCCTTAAAAGCTAACCTAGAAGGAGTCCCAAGCATGGCCTATTGGATTGGGAAACCGCAAATAATTTACCATAAAATAGCCACATCAAAAAATGTAGGCAGCAAAAATGTCACAGAAAATTGTCTGTACTTGAAGACGGGCCTTAATATTGAATTTTCCTTGTATTGTTTTAGACAGTGGTAATACGACTGAGGCCAAGGCCAAACGTTGATATTTTTATGAGAAGAACTAAATTGTAATTTGGGCGTCGACCTAAATTAAGGTGGCTCCGTCATTAATAAAGGAGCATTGAGCTATGAAGAACTTTTCGTCATAACCTTTTTCGTTTTTAACATGATATGGCTTCAAAACTTTCCAGAGAACAACAGATATGATTCAGCAATAATATGAAATATTCCTATTTCATTGTTGGTAAATATTTTTTGCGAAATTAGCGCTTAAAGGACTGTGTCACGATAGTGCGCTTGTGTGAGGTTTGACAGTAGCTGATTGTTTTTGAACCAATCGGAAGCGAGTGAGATGCAGGCAAGGAAATTTACATAATTCAAGATTCATTGTTCGCGAAGAGGGAGTCGTTTTTTATCGATTTTGTATATCCCCATAATTCATATTAATTTTATTCACTGGTATTCCTCAGATATATGTTGCAGCCGATAAGAATAAGATAAACAACCCTGTCCTGCTTTGAAACAAACATTTACCTTCGCGTATTTTCACGTACTCACGCTAGCAAACCAAACAAACCTTACTGAACTCTCTGCTTGCACTATATAAACTTAGAAATACCGGCAATTAGCGCCTGGCCGGTGACCAAAGCACACAGTATCGGATGAGGCAAACGTTTTGCCTAAAATGCCAGCTAAATGCACACTATAATAAACTAGGCCATGCCATGCGGCCGGGTAGCGCGATTAGCAATCCGCATCATAAACGTTATAGCTCATCGTATTGGTGTTTGAAAGCAATTTTTAATATAGCGATTCATCATAAAACGCTTTCATTGTAATAGTAGCCACATAACTTATGAGTATAAAGATTATTCGAAGAGAACAACGCAAAAAAAAAAAAAAAATTGCTAATATTTTTTACTGAAATTTCTGGTACCGGCTTTTAATGAGCTAGATAACAAATATATCGAAATACAGCAGAGAAATTTCAGAGAAATCGTTGGAGCAGGAGTCCGTAACTAAAAGTTGTTCCCAAAATTCAGCCTTGAAATTATTTTGGAATTTCAAAAATAAATTCCTCTGATCATGAGGTAGAACGAGCTACCAGTTCGAGTTTTCCGAGACGAGTAATTCCTCCAGTGTTTGCTTCAACATTCTTTAAACAAAAACCGATTGGTAATCGTGCTATTCTTAAAAAGGTTGTGGAGCAAGCGAGCAAGAAACCGGAGCACACGTTGCCTGCAGATCAGGCCGATGGCAATTTGGAGGATTCGTCGATTATTCTCGAATTTATAGCGCTTCGCGTGAAGGCGCGTGGAAAGGGTCCGTTTGTTTTGTAGCCAAGTTCTTTAGTGGATACTACCTACAATTGCAAAACCCAACAAAATGCCACTTTCACCGGCCAGGAAAGACAAGGATACGTTCAGTTAAAGGTATCTTAGCTTTGTTTTGTTATATGTGGACTTTTGGACTATTTTAGTCCATGGGAGTTTCGACGACTCATCGCATTAATTTGTTCATGTGAATATTAATATATTGACAAACACTAAGTCTCGGACGCCTGTGGCAAAACATGCGTGGCTTCGATCACGCAACGATTCTTAGTCCCAGTTTCCTTGGTCTTTGCAAGGAATGCTTGGCACAATGGCACAATACCCCCCCATTTGTATACAGCTATTTCGAGACGGGTTGTCGGAAAAAGTACACGCGACAATCCCGAAAGGTATTGTGGGTAGTTTCGAGTGCTCTGTTCTTCAAAGAAATTTGAAACAATGGCCGGGAGGCCACGGACATATGTTTGCGAGTGCTAAAGGAAAGCAAAAAAAGTATGTTCGACAGCTACAGTCGTCAGGAACAGTGTATTGATGATATCCCATATTACCTTTCGGGATTGTCGCGTGCACATTTTTTCCGACAACCTTTCTCGAAATAGCTGTATGAAATACGATGAAAAAGCCCGGGAGGGGGGGGAATTTTTTCAGAGAAATTGGGTGGGGGGTGTGCGGCACGTTTCCTGAAATCCTAGCCCTATTTCATACCAAAATCTGTGATTTTCCCTACCCTATTTCAGACCTAATCAAAAATTTGATACCCTATTTCAGATCTGAAGCCCTGGAGCCCCGCGCGTGAATGCGTAAACATTAAAAGGGAAATGGTCTTATCGCCAAACGATGAAGTAGCTTCTTCAAAAAAAAAACATACAAAAAAACAATTCAAGACTAGAGTGCAAAAACCATACCCTATTTCAGAGCAAAACGGCTAAAAAAACATACCCTTTGGCGCTGCACTTACTTATATAGCCTATATAAGGGACTACCCCCCCCCCCCCCCCCGGGGGGAAAACGCGTTGCAGATTATTAGTCTCGCTGCTTACGCAAGCGAGACCAACAACCTACAACAAAAATGTGTTGAATTAAAGAAAATAATATTTAGTTTACACTACTTTATGTGCTGCGAATAGCTATAATGCTAATCTAGGCAGGACAACAGCCTATTGTAAGTGGTTGAAAAAGAACCTGAAAAAATTAAGGCTTGACTGGGAATGTCGATCGAACCCTGACCTTTGCGATGACCGGACACAGTTCAAAATAAAAGGTATTTCATATATTTCCACTCATGTAAATCTGAGGATAAATAAAGGTATTGTATGTATGTTATGTATTCCTGCATCGCGTACATTATTGAAGAAGGCGCAATGGCCTGCTCTCCAGTTGGCTTGCATGATTAGCCTAGTGGATTATCACGCGCGTTGCGTCCGGTCAGTTATTGGCTAGTTCATTGTTCTCCCTTAAATTTGTTCCTGAAGTTCATCATGTATTCGTACAGGTTCTCTCCAAACATGCAAATTTATCTCTTAAGATTTTGTGCTGCCGAATCCATGATACCGATTTTCCGACAATTTTCCTCAACTGGGCAGTTGTCAAAATCTTGTACAAGTTTAGCTTCATTTCTGCTGTCGATTAAATCAATGCAAATTTGGTCCGTCAATCTTGTTCTTCCATGTTGTAATCGTCTTTCATTCATTTGTCCATTTTTCGCTTTTTTGAATTCGCTGAGTGGGCGGAAGTTTGTAGAACGAGAATGAGCTCCAGAAAACGCATTACAAGAACGTCGCTAGGCTTAAGGCTGGTTTCGATACAGGTTTTCAATCGCCTTAAAGGTGGCTTTTTCCTTGTCTGATCGCTATAAAATTTCCCATTATCACTATCATTATTATTATCATCATCATCATCATCATCACCATCAAAGTCCAGACAACGGAAGTCGGATACCGTGTTACATAAAGAGGGGAATAGCGAAAATGATGTCGTCATTGCTGATCTCGAGGAACAGTCAATCATGACAGGACACACAGGGGCCTCGACTCAGGTAAATACCGCAAATGCTTGTACATTGTACTACCAGACGATAACTTTCAATCAAAATCAATAATCAATAACATCAACAATAGTCCATAAAAATCAATAGCAATTCATTGATAGATATTGAAAATCAATAAAAATCGAAGCCGCAGTCTTTAGTGATTTTTGATTTTCATTGATTTTCATGATTTACATCGATTTTATTGGCTGTAGTGTGATTTGTTTAAATTATTCTACAGACTGTTTTACTCCTCCGTTTACTGTACTTATGCGGAAATATCCACTTGATGTGGATAAAGTGGGGTGACAAGATCGGCTTGGAGATGGCCAAGCTGGTCTCAGTTCCCTCCGTTCTCCCCTCGTTCTTCCCTCAGTTCTCCCCTCTTCTTGGAAACGGAAAACACTTCCCCTAACTTTTTAATTTACTTTAAAAGGACAGTGTGATACTCCATGACTACACAAGAAATAGAAATTTCCACAGACATAACGTAACAGCTTTGTTGTGCTTGCGACCGACGATTAACCAGCATTTAAGCTAATGCCTACCCGGGTTTTAATAGCCTCCCACGCAGACGTTATTAGGGGTTCGTTATGCATCCCTGTCCTACTAACGTCGTTAGTGGGACAGGAACGCGTGACGAACCCCTAAGAACGTCTGCGTGGGAGGCTAGGGTTTTTACTGTTGCATAATCGGTGAGTAATTATCGGTTTTTGTTGATTGGCTAAGCCAATCAATATAAATCAATAGATTTTTGTTGATTTTTATTGATTATATTGATTGAAATCAATGATTGATTTTCATTGATTGTTGTCGTCTGGTTTACTGGCATTCCTAACACAACTTAGAGACAAGTGAGGAAAACAATCGCTTAAAGGGACAGCGCTCCGATTATGCGCACTCTCGAGCGTTATCTGTTTTTTCTCTTTTAAAGCACAATAGAACTGTCACATTATATCATGATTTCCTTCCGGACCGGACCGCCGACGGAGATTTATTGCTTACATTCTCAAGTAATATCTTCAACTTTCGAAGAAGTCTTTCGTCTTATTATAATTTGTCTCGCGGCTCGGAGACTTGTCGCATAGTACGTTCCTTCTACAACTAATTAAAAAAAAATATTATTCGCCTTCAGGGAATTTATTAGATAAAGGCTAGGCTATCAATGGTAGAGATAATGGCAACGATCGTCGACGAAAGGGAAAAAGGTGACGCCGTCCTTGGATCTTAAGATTGCAATGAATGAATAATTTGGATTTGGTAGTATGGCTTTTCGTGTACTACAGAACTGTTGAGTTTGAAGGCATTATGATATGTTATTGTGAGGTATGGCAGCCGTGGGATCAATTGTCAGCTGCTCGGAAGAGAAGTCATTAATGGCGCGTCTCCCTGACCGCAAACAATACTTATTACTAAAACAATTGGAAGAATGAAATATCATTGTTTCATGCGATTAGGTACGTGACAATTTACCTGCAGCTCCTACCAATCAATGTGCCTCCAGCTCCCAATTACATTTTCACTTCTTTTTCTTTATCATATTATGAGCATTGATCATCGAAGTGTGGCTTAAACAGTTTTGTTGGCTATTTTGATGAGTTGTTAAACCGTTTTGTTTCGTTTAGTTTTTAGTGGAAACTAATTTTGTTATCATCCTCATTTGTTTTCTTTCGACGCTGCCATCGCCGATGGGTGAGTGGAGCCACAGTTGTTGTGATGTCGGAAACTCCCTCCAGTATTAATATAATATTTGTTTTTTCTCAGCGCTGGGATTTTTATTATTCATTTGGATATTGCAAGAGGGAGTCATCGTCGCTCTTCTTCGTCGGCTTCGTAGTAGTCGTTGAGGAAATTTATACCTCTGTGGCCTTTGACAGTGGCGATATATTCTGAAGTTACAATATATCAGGTTTGCTTTCTTCAGCTTGCTGACTGTTGTTTTCCGTACACCATGATTCGTAAACTTTTTTCTCACTTTCTTTAAGGCTAGTACTACCACTTACGGGACACTTTCATTAAAATGTTAGCCGGATGGTATTTTCGCACATTGGTTTAGTTTGAACCAGATCTTTAAATTTTCGGTTTCGTTTGCTACCGAGGAAGAAAGAAACAGACCATCGCATGAATGCTTTCATAGAGGTCTTTGCTCGACAAAAGACTTAAAGAGAGCAACCGGACCTCTTTCTACTCCAACAAAAGAATGACGTGACTTGAAGTCCTTGTTGTTATCATGGAAAACTTGTATCCGTGTTCATTTAAATGCCTGAAAAGTGGAGCTGTCATGGCTTGCGTGTGTTTGCCACCGTTTTTGTTCTTTACTTTCTACTTTAGCCTAGTCCGTTATAAGTAGCTTGTTTAGTTTCTCATTTAGCCGGAAAGACGTTCTTTTCACTGTTTGAGTTTTTGGAATTTTTTTTAACTTTTCTATTGTTGTTTTGCGTACATGAAATCAAATCGTCGTTTGCTAAACACCATGGCCGTTTCCTTAAATTTTGTTGTTAAAACAGCTCTAATCTGATTGGTTCTTGCTGGTTTGTTTTTTGTTTTCAGCCAATCAGAAACCATTTGTAATGTGCACTTGTGTTACAAATTTGCACTCGTGTAACAGAAGAAATGCACTCCTTTCTCAGCCAATAGGTATTGAGTAGTTTTTTTCGTGTATATTATTAGGCCTAAAAAAATGATCGCAGGTTTGAACAATCACCATCGCTCGACGTATCCGATAATATAAACTGGATGCTTGGCTCCGCTTTTCTATTTGCTTACTACATACAGTCAATATTAAAATTAATTTAAACTCCTGCCAAACCAAAACTTTAACTGTAGAAAGCGAGAAGAGCACAAAAGACTCTTGCATTGCTGTCGCTGCTGTTCAATCTAAAAGCGAACATATCATACAAATGTAATTAAACTCAAACGGCTCACCAGTGCATGTGAATCCATCCCCTGTGAATCCTGCTGTACATGCGCATGCGTAAGATCCAACAGTGTTACTACACACCGCATTAACGTCACAGCTGTGAGAGTTGGTAGAGCACTCGTCAATATCTGGCGAAAAAAGTGAGGAAGCCTTCTTGTTTAGTGATGCAGCAAAATCAAGATCAATAAGGTCATTTACACTCATTTTCTGTATGCGTTAACCCTGCTTAACTATGTACTATAGGTAATCCCATTTTTTTGCCTTTTTTACATATAAACGGAGGGGGAAACATTAAATTACACGTAATAAACACAATTCGAAAGGAAAGAATCTCAAAAGGCGAGGACGTCTCACGATAGCTTATACGTGACACTTCCTCTTAGCTCTATATCAGAACAGCTATAGTAAGAGGGAGTATTCAAGGGAGTACATTTCCTTTCTGATCATGAAATGCATAACCATTAAATAAGAATTTTTATGAAATATAACAGCAAAGTCCCCTGTTTGCTCGGTTGGCATACTATAGATCAATTTCGTTAAGATATGTTTGTCGGACGTGCGTTTCAGTTTGGGTTTTAAGCAAAAAAACCTTGAACGTCCCCAAAATCTATCTTTGATTTGAGGTCAAGCCGAAATAATGGTGAATATGCTTTAAAATACGCATTTAAAAATCAAATAGAATAATGAAACAAAAAAGAAGACAGGAGAGAAAGGAGTCCCAGGTCTAACGACAGATTAGAGCCTGATCACCCAATCATTTTCTAACTGGCTGGGCTTGACAATTGTGCAAGACTGAGTTTAGTGAAATTTTGCGAGATACGTATTTCTAGTTTTACTGTAATTGTTATTTCGAACCATTGAGGTTACATGCCCATCGTTTTCTACATGTTTAAATGTAAAGATCGAATACAAAAAATACAGGCACACAAATCGTTTTGGAAACGTTTTTTACAACACCGCAACAGCTTACCAGAGCATGTTTTTCCATTGCCTGTGAATCCTGCTTTACATGCGCATGCGTACGATCCAACAGTATTGCTGCAAACCGCATTAACGTCACAGCTGTGAAAGTTGGTAGAACACTCGTCGATATCTGCACGAGAATTGTAAGTTACGCAAAGCGTTAGAATAACTAATATTTAATCTACCTGATGGTTTACATCTGGTCGCTACGGTGAATGTATCCATTTTTTTTGTCCTTGTTTGTTTGTTGTTTTTATGTTTTAACAAGTATGGTTTTAGGCTTTTTTCCAAAATGACATGACAGTGTTGAGCTTTTGCCCAAAAACATTGCGCCTTCAATGGTTTCGTCGTCTTGTTTAAGAACCTTTAGATTAGAGGAGGTCGTCTCTTTGAAAAACAATTTATTGTGTGCAATTTCAAAGTTACGATATGTGTAGCTCCATGTCGACTTATGGGTCGCTTAGGAGAGGTGGTCGCACATGAAAGATCGACAGTTTATCGTAAATACCATTGCAGGATTTTCCATCTCCTGTGTACCCAGCATTACACGAGCATGCGTATGAACCCACGGTATTTTGGCAAACGGAATTGACGTCACAGGAATGGGAACCAGTGGTACATTCGTCCAAGTCTAAAAAGTAAGCACACAGAGGCTTCTTGTCAAACAACATGGCTGTTCTAGTTAATGAAGCTTGTTTAAAAAGAATATACTGTGGTGTAGTTGGGTAATTGACGTACACTGGCAAGGCAAAAAAAAAAAATGTTTGAAAAAAGGAACTTGCAAAAAGGGTCCTAAGCGTGCCCTGAGTTAACGTATGTACTTATGTTCGTTAATAATTTGCAAAGAGGTGTTTAGAAAACCGGGTTCAAAAGCAAGCGGAGGTTAGCGCGACTTTTCCCGTGGTTCCAACGTATGAACATTTTCTCGTTCTTCTTTTGATTACGCCTCTGTGGCCTTTGACAGTGGCGATAAATTCTGAAGTTACAATATATCAGGTTCGCTTTCTTCAGCTTTCTTACTGTTGTTTTCCTTACACCATTATTCGTAAACTTTTTTCTCACTTTCTTTAAGGCTAGGACTACCACTTACGGACACTTTGATTAAAATGTTAGTTATGGTATTTTCGCACATTGGTTTAGTTTGAACAAGATCTTTAAATTTTCGGTTTTGTTTGCTACCGAGGACGAAAGAAACAGATCATCGCATGGATGTTTTAATAGAGGTCTTTGCTCAACAAAAGACTTAAAGAGAGCAACCGGACCCCTTTCTCCTCCAACAAAAGAATGACGTTACTTGAAGTCCTTGTTGTTATCATGGAAAACTTGTATCCGTGTTCATTTAAATGCCTAAAAAAGTGGAGCTGTCATGGCTTGAGTGTGGTTGCCACCGTTTTTGTTCCTTATTTTCTACTTTAGCCTAGTCCGTTATAAGTAGCTTGTTTAGTTCCTCATTTAGCCGGAAAGACGTTCTTTTCACTGTTTGAGTTTTTGGAATTTTTTTAACTTTTCTGTTGTTGTTTTGCGTACATGAAATCATATCGTCGTTTGCTAAACACCATGGCCGTTTTCTTAAATTTTGTTGTTAAAACAGCTCTAATCTGATTGGTTCTTGCTGGTTTCTTTTTTGTTTTCAACCAATCAGAAACCATTTGTAATGTGCACTTGTGTTACAAATTTGCACTCGTGTAACAGAAGAAATGCACTCCTTTCTCAGCCAATAGGAATTGAGTAGTTTTTTTCGTGTATATTATTAGGCCTAAAAAAATGATCGCAGGTTTGAACAATCACCATCGTTCCACGTATCCGATAATATGAACTGGCTGCTTGGCTCCGCTTTTCTATTTGCTTACTACATACAGTCAATATTAAAATTAATTTAAACTCCTGCCAAACCAAAACTTTAACTGTAAAAAGCGAGAAGAGCACAAAAGACTTTTGCATTGCTGTCGTTGTTGTTCACTCAAAAAACAAACATCATACAAACGAAATTAAACTCAAATGGCTCACCAGTGCATGTGAATCCATCCCCTGTGAATCCTGCTGTACATGCGCATGCGTAAGATCCAACAGTATTACTACACACCGCATTAACGTCACAGCTGTGAGAGTTGGTAGAGCACTCGTCGATATCTGGCGAAAAAAAGTGAGGAAGCCTTCTTGTTTAGTGATCCAGCAAAATCAACATCAATAAGGTCATTTACACTCATTTTCTGTATCCGATAACCCAGCTTAACCATATACTATAGGTAATCGGATTTTTTTTGCCTGTTTTACATATAAACGGAGGGGGAAACATTAAATTACACGTAATAAACACAATTCGAAAGGAAAGAATCTCAAAGGGCGAGGACGTCTCACGATAGCTTATACGTGAGACTTCCTCTTAGCTCTATATAAGGACAGCTATAGTAAGAGGGAGTATTCGAGGGAGTAAATTTCCTTTCTGAAATGTATAACGATTCAATACGAATTTTTATTAAATATAACAGCAAAATACCCTGATTGCTCGGTTGGCATACTATAGATCAATTTCGTTAAGATATGTTTGTCGGACGTGCGTTTCAGTTTGGGTCTTAAGGAAAAAACCTTGAACGTCCCCAAAATATATCTTTGATTTGAGGTTAAGCCGAAATAATGGTGAATATGCTTTAAAATACGCATTTAAAAATCAAATAGAATAAAGAAACAAAAAAGAAGACAGGAGAGAAAGTAGTCCCAGGTCTAACGACAGATTAGAGCCTGATCACCCAATCAGTTTCTAACCGGCTGGGCTTGACAATTGTGCAAGATCGAGTTTAGTGAAATTTTGCGAGATACGTATTTCTAGTTTTACTGTAATTGTTATTTCGAACCATTGAGGTTATATGCCCATCGTTTTCTACATGTTTAAATGTAAAGATCGAATACAAAAAATACAGGCACACACATCGTTTTGGAAACGTTTTTTACAACACCGCAACAGCTTACCAGAGCATGTTTTTCCATCGCCTGTGAATCCTGCTTTACATGCGCATGCGTACGATCCAACAGTATTGCTGCAAACCGCATTAGCGTCACAGCTGTGAAAATTGGTAGAACACTCGTCGATATCTGCAGGAGAATTGTAAGTTACGCAAAGCGTTAGAATAACAAATATTATATCTACCTGATGGTTTACATCTGGTCCCTACGGTGAATGTATCCATTTTTTTTGTTCTTGTTTGTTTTTTGTTTTTATGTTTTAACAAATATGGTTTTAGGCTTTTTTCCAAAATGACATGACAGTGTTGAGCTTTTGCACACAAACATTGCGCCTTCAATGGTTTCGTCGTCTTGTTTAAGAACCTTTAGATTAGAGGAGGTCGTCTCTTTGAAAAACAATTTATTGTGTGCAATTTCAAAGTTACGATATGTGTAGCTCCATGTCGACTTATGGGTCGCTTAGGAGAGGTGGTCGCACATGAAAGATCGACAGTTTATCTTAAATACCATTGCAGGGTTTTCCATCTCCTGTGTACCCAGCATTACACGAGCATGCGTATGAACCCACGGTATTCTGGCAAACGGAATTGACGTCACAGGAATGGGAACCAGTGGTACATTCGTCCAAGTCTAAAACGTAAGCACACAGAGGCTTCTTGTCAAACAACATGACTTTTCTAGTTAATGAAGCTTGTTTAAAAAGAATATACTGTGGTGTAGTTGGGTAATTGACGTACACTGGCAAGGCAGAAAAAAAAAAATGTTTGAAAAAAGGAACTTGCAAAAAGGGTCCTAAGCGTGCCCTGAGTTAACGTATGTACTTATGTTCGTTAATAATTTGCAAAGAGGTGTTTAGAAAACCGGGTTAAAAAGTAAGCGGAGGTTAGCTCGACTTTTCCCGTGGTTCCAACGTATAAACGCTTTCTCGTTCTTCTTTTGATTACGTCGATTTCAGGCTTTTGCGGCCATTCTTTGGTCAATGAACATTTTTTTTAATGCAAATGTATACAACTTGTTTCCCTATGTTTCTAATAATGTAACTGATCGGTCTTACCCTCTCTTCCTTTTCAAGCAATCTGTCTAACCATCTGCCTAACATGCTGTCATTGCGTTTCGACCTTTTTGAATGTAGTTTTAACTCAGTTGATTCACTATCTGGAACATGAAGATGAAGATATATACGGTTATATATCTTCATAGTGCTTCGCTTAGTACCTTTAAAACAAGTGTAGTTGTAACAGTTAGTACATGGCACATCATTCCAAGTGTAACCATGCTTGGCGCCAAGAGTGTGAACACAGTCTTCGTTTTTCCAGTCATTCGGTTGCTGTGGGGCCCAGAATTTAAAACTACTTATTTCTTTGTTTGTCCACACAAAGGAGCCCTCCACACTTCGGTCATTGAGTCCAATCCAAGATCTCTCTCCGTTGTGACGGTGTTGAATGTAGACATTTTCTTCTTGATTGTGAACCGTTACCAAATTGGAACTCATCGTAGAACAGTTTGACTCAGCGGTCAGCCACGAGGCGCATGCACGA